CTCACAAGACCGGATTTATTTCCCCGTTTTCTGCAATACTAGTCTATTACACTAATAATATTTTGACCACTAATTGCCAAAGCATTTCAGTTTCTTTCCTGAGCTTAGCCTGCTATAAACAAAGCTAACAGAGCACGCTTCCAAAAAAGTATAATTTTCTTTTCCAATTTAGCTTATTTTTAAAATAATGTTTTTTAAATACGATGAAGTCCACATTGAGGAAGAATTTGCTCAACATTCTAAAAACAGAAAAAAAATACTGTGCTGGTATACAAAGCGTATTTAAATCAGCTCTAGTGATTATTAATCAAGAAGCACAATCCATTTGCTAGACAGTGCTAAATCCCATTGAAATTCTAGTAAGATCAGCAGTCATCAAAAAATGTACTTACACAGAAATCTAAATTATCCTACATAAACTTTTTCAATATTTCATGTACTAATAAAGTTTAACCACCTTCAAAAGTGTAGATTAATAGAAAATGGAAAATAATTATTATGTGGGTTATGACTGGCACAGCGAGCACAAAAAACTACCCAAATTTTCACTCCTCTTCCAATTTGGTCCCACAACCTGCAGCTTCCATGAGGAGCTGGTAGGCTTAATGATGTTAGTGCTGATCATTTTCAAATAACCTTATCACTTTAAACAAGGTAACACACTATCTAAATATGATGCCTACAACTGCTTTAGCACGGACTCAAAGGCGAGAGCTTATCTTTTGCCACTAGCTTTATCGCAGCTATTCCAACCCTGCTGTGGAGATGTCCAATCCGAATGCTCATCTATTCCTGCAATGCTTATTTTGCGAGAAGCGCTGTGACCAGCAGGTTGGAGGATGGGGGTGGCAGGGTGGGGAGGGAAGAGTAAGTGGTAGGAACAGATGATGCTCTCCATCATGATTATTTTCAAGATAACTGAACTTCTAGCTGACAGTACCTCATGACAGCACCAACGAATGTTAACTTTTACTTCTCTATTTTACATATACTTATACATATACCTGTGTGTGTGTGTTGTGTGTATACATATATATATATAACCATGCACATACACACACACAAATGAATTCATATAAACACATACGCTCTTTTACTGAAAAATACAAATTTTACTCAAGCAGACCATCAAACCCCGTAATTCCTCCAGCAGGCGCACCTAAAATTGGTTTTAAAAACAAAGAATTTTGAACCGGTGTATGGCAGAAACTTACAGAGTTGAGAGAATGATATTGAATTTAAACCAAATCCTTATCTCAGCCATTGTATAATTTTTACTTTTTTTCTAGAAAAGATTTGAAGACCACTGCTTATTATCATGTCATATCTCTACAGGAAAAAAAAATGGAGGAACGCAGGTGGAAGAGTTGTTTTCAAAATATATAAGGTTCTTTGCTGTAGTATTTCCAAGATAGTTATACTTTGAGATTTCAAAAATTGTCTTTAAAATATCATGTTATAAGAGCACTGCAGTTTATCACAACCAAACATTTTCTCATTAGCAGAATGCAATACAAAGAGCAAAGCTTGGAATCATGCTATCACATTCTACCTATAGCCCACATTGTTCGTACTGTGCACACTTCAAAACCTCGATGCTGATATGAACTTTTGTAAGTGGCATTCACATACACATAAGACATTCATGAAGTAGTTAGGGGATGTTTTACCTCTACTACATAAGTGTCAATAATATGATCCCGAGGCAGGAACCAGTGGGCTACCTCTTCTTCATCCATCACAGGAGCAAGATTAAACTGTTTCAAGTAAGTGTTGATTAATTCTTGTACTGCTTTCGTATCTTTTTGTTCCATTGGTCTCAAACCTGAAGTCTTTGTGGCCTTATTGTAACAAAGGAAGAATAAACATTAAGATGTTAAAGGGAAAACTGCATACACAGCAAAGGCTGAAAGTAGGTTGCAGAGTCACTCCGCTTGCTGTAATGCATTCATTATTAGCCTACTTTACCCCAGCCACCTAATTCATTATGCTATTTTACAAACAGCTTTCAATCAGAATTCCCTCTCTTCTAATTATTGAGACAGTCTGGGGCACTTCAATCCTTAAATTTCATTACTGAAACAACTTCATCTCTCCAGAGAAAGAGATACCATTGCCAACAGCCTAGACTTCCCACTCTGTATTATTTTAGCGTTTTTTAGGTCAGTCTTTATTTCTTATCTTGTTCTACACTACCTAGGGCCCAGACACAGAAACAAGCATAAAACAACTTGCAAATCAGAAGTTAATCTGAAGTCAAGAATTCAAACTTAAGAAAATTACAGTCCAGCTATAAACCAAAGTCAGCTGATAAAGTTTAATTAGAAATTATTTAACAAAAAAATTCCACCTATACTTAAGACTTGCAAACTCCCTTGCTAACTCAACTTTCTATACATGCACAACTGCTGTTCTGTTAACAAGAAAGTGCTTCATAAATTACAGCTGCCTGAAATGAAAAAGCTACAGTATTTTACCTAAGTTAGTTATTTGACTTTAAACACCAGAAGAGGAAAAAAACTCTTTTCCAGTACTATGCAATTAATGTTTAAACAAGCAAAGGTGATTAAAGTTTTCTCCTCAGTTTTTGCTAGCTTTCCTGAATATTTCCTTTTAGGGAGGATAAAGCTTGTTCTCTTCAGGGCTAATTCATCCTGCTTCATCTGTCTGAGCCACAGACTCGGGCACGTATCACATTAATCATAGCAAAGTCAATCGCAAGAGCAGCCAGGTAGAGACTTGATTACTGGGAGCCTGTAATTAGTGTGGTGTAGCTGATTATGCTCTGCTCAAAAAGAGTTATTCTGGGGGAGGTATTTATTCACGTACTCTGGGAGTCAGCAGCCAGATGGAAAATCGAGGCATGTTTTGGCCACAGCTCTGGCCCAGATATTACATTTTAGTCCTCCTGCTCTCATGAGCAGCCTGGGACTATGGGGTATCTCTGCAACAGCACATCAACTAGATTTTTAAACACCCTGAATCCATGTGGGTGTTCACCTGACTCATCAACACGGCACTTCCTATGCCATATTTAATTCATAACCTGCTTATGAACTACAATACAAAAAGTTAATTTCTGCTCCCTCCAAGCCTTTGACCCTCTTCTAAAGCCATACATTAGAGCAGGATAGGAGGAAAAGCAAGCTGGAGCATAGGAGCTTCGATGTGAACATGAGAAAAAACTTTTTTACTGTAAGGGTGACGGAGCACTGGACCAGGCTGCCCAGAGAGGTTGTGGAGTCTCCTTCTCTGGAGACATTCAAAACCCACCTGGATGCGTTCCTGTGTGACCTGGTCTAGGTGATCCTGCTCCAGCAGGGGGGTTGGACTGGATGATCTTTCCAGGTCCCTTCTAACTCCTAATATTCTGTGATTCTGTGGAAAGTAGCTGAGCTGAAACATCTTTATACCCCAGCAATGCTCAAAACGGCCATCAGTAAATGATTACTTGAAACCCAGAAAGTGAGGGAAAGTGTAGAGAACTGTGCTAAACTTTGTTTCTCTGCTCCACACATCAAGCTGCTCTGGGAATAGAGTTATGAGAGGATCCTGGCTCAGGATGCCAGTCACAGTCAGGAAAAGACAGAGACAAACATGCTCTGTCCTTATTCTAAACAAAATCTACCTCTTTCAGAAAACTCCTTGTTTAAGGGACTAAATACTTAGGAAAAAAACTTTATTGTTTTTATATTTATAGGTACAAGCACAAACGCAGCCTTCAGTGAGGGTGGTATTTATTAATTGCAGTATTTATTATTTCTGAAAACCTTTTTAATTCACACTGTTCAAGTGATTAGGAACGATTAATTTCTCTTAAAGGGAGATGAGCTCCCGGTGGCAATGATATTCCAAGGACTCCAAGAAAAGAGGTTAAAATGCAAGAAACAGTGTTTGGTGCTGAGGGATAGGACAGTGTGGCCTGAATGAACCAGTTTGTGTGACCGTACTGTTTATGGTAACAATCTGAAACTGAGGATAAAGATCCTCAACAGCACTTAAACCCTTTCTTAAGGAAACAGAAATAAAATCAAAAATCCCACAAAGCACAAGATCTAAAGAGAAAACATTAGGACAAAGATTAAATCTTTATTTCCCATGGAAGAAGCTCCCAAGTCCAATCTAAAAGTAAACAAACAGCTAAGGCATATGGACTCCTATATTATTTAGTTTTAAAAGCTGATTTTCAAAGCACCTATTTTCTATTTGCACATGTCTGTAGAGTATGTTGCCTTAGCTATATATTATGAATGAGATATGATGTATGTTTTGTTTTCCATCATTTATTTTTCTGTTGAAATCTGAGCTTTATGATAAAGGACGATGATCAAGGTACAACTGCTGTTGTTTCAATGATTCTTTGTAGCTACACTTTTTTGTACTGTAAGAAAGATCTTTATTTTTTAAACTATTCTTTTCCTGTATTGTTTCCATGAGGAACAGTAACAGAGTTGCCATCAAAACTTATTTGAAAATGTCTGCTGCACCTTTTTAGACTATAAAAAAAGTCTTCAAGATTTGATGAAAGCTATATTTAGCTCTCCAAGATTAAAACCTAATTAATTAGGCTATTAATTCCTCAAGTCTGAAAACTGCTGCCCTGCACACAAGGGAGAACCTGCGTGTGCAGGCAGGTGTAGCATGCAGGCAGCACAGGAAACGAGTCCCTCTGACAGCAGCGGGAGTTCAGATCAAGCCATGGGACACACTTTCCACTGAGAAGTGCTTAGTGTATCACTCAAATGCATAAGCAGTAAGAGCGCCTGCAGTATCACGCTAAATAAAACCAAGATGACACAACTCTCCAAACTCAGATAAATCATTAACAAAGTTCTACAAGTGAGGAAAAATAATAGTATTTTTTTAAAACCAGAAGGGAGGGCTTGTTTAAATTAAAAGGAAAAAAAAAAAAAGAAGAAAGTTTACTCCTACGGCACAGGTAAAGGATATCATGCAAACACTCTAAATAGAAAGGTAGCTTTTACAAGCAAAGAAATTGTTTTCAATCATAAAGCTTAGACTAGCTGCTAATGGCTATTAATTACAGCAATGAGATTTTTTTAATAGTACATCTCAGACTACTTAGTGACTTGTCCTGTCATGGAAATGCATCCTAAGGCTTTTTGCCAGCCTAACTAATAGCTGCAAACATAAGAAAATTGTATTTTTAACCAACCTAGCTATGCCAGAACACTTTTTCTTTTTTGCAAGAGCATGCAAATAAACAAACAGAACACAAGATACTGAGGCTGATTTTGCTGAGCCTGCTCAGTGCAGAAGTACAACATTCTCTGACAGAACAGAAAACGCTGTGAATTAGAGTGGAATCAACATCCCCACTGTCCTCAATCAACTTTCTGATGGACTCCTCTGAGAACTTTAAGACATGAACTGTAAATTTTCTGTTCTAGTAATCTTTTATCAGATTAATTAGAGTGCATCTTCAACTCAATCGCACATGTTTATGAAGTTAAGGTTTCTGGGTTTTTTCTTTGTTTGCTTAAGGCTTTTAGGTAAAAATTTCTATTTTCTCCATATACAGATCTACATTTCCAGCAATAGTCTCTTCTGTTTAGTATAGCCCTTAAGGTCTTTTTCATCAAGCAGAGATTGTTTTTTCTTTTGAATGTCCTGCACGCACTGCCTTTCCACACAAAAGCCCGTGCTGCCAGAGACAGATGGAAGGTTATTTTGGGCCTCACAATAACTGTGGGGATTCTCTAGAAGTCATACTGCTTACATCAGGAAGTCTGTAGAGCTTCATTGTTCTTTGTAGAGTCATGTTTCTACTCAAATGTGAAAATTTCACCTCCACCAATTTTCTGGGATTAAGCGATCGATGCCAATACCTGGAAATAAAGTTAATAATAAGATTAAATAGTATTTTAATGTCAGCTTTACTTTCATCCATTTTTCTACTTTCTTACATTGCTCCTTCTGCTCTCCAAATTTTTTCTAAGCAAGCCTGTGCTATGTCTGTAAGAGGCTTGAGCAACAAAAGAAAAACCTATATCCAAGCAATAGCTTTTAAACAGGCCTGCTATCACTGTATTTTGGATCTAAGTAAATGCTTTTTACTACAGAATTATTAATTACAGGGCTAAACATTTTAGTACTTGCCATAGCCCTGACAATCTCACCATACTTACATGGTAATGTTTATTTTCTTGTACGGATAGAACCTTCTGCGCATGTCTTAAGTAGTTTGTTGAAGGAGATCTCCTCTTCCTAGGAGATCATTGTGCAACAAATAGTTACTCTTGTGCATCCCTGGTTACTCTAACAAAGCATGGCTTTTTTATTTCCATCGTTCCTTACAAAAACTTACAGGATCTTTGGTGTTGGTAGGTAAAAACACAATTTCAAACCCAAAAGTACCTCCAGAAGGATAGGCACCTGAACTAATACTGCTGGAACAGAACTTGCCCATTAGAAATAAAATCCACTTCAAGAAAATGAAATTATACTTGATTACATACAGCTCTTCTCATGTAACAGTTTTCCCATTTTTATCAAATGCCGATCAAGTCCTCCTTTCCCCAAAAAAGCAAATCATACAATTCCCAGAAATGCTCTGCCATCTTTGGCAAGCAACCAGGTCAACAGGGAAGTGTCCCAGCAGGGAAACAGGCCACTTGAAAAACACAGGTATACAGTGTTGTCATTGCTAGCATGGCTTCCACCAGAAGGTCAACAGAAATGTCTATTGGTCTATTTGAGATACGATAAACAAACACAAAATTAGATTTTAGTCTGAGAAGCTGTTTAATCCAAGGCACTGACAGGGAAAATAAAAACAAAACAAAACAAAACACCAAACCAAAAACCTACCCTGACAAACACTCAAGCTCTACCCAATTACATAAAATGTTCTTTAAAATGACTGCTATTGGAACTGATATTATGATGAACATCACCTAGGTTACCTGCAAGTGGCCACAGGTTTGGGGAGTACCACTCCAGCAGTGTAAACAGCCTGAAAAATTCCTTCCAAGTTTACTCTTCTGGTTATTTCCCGAATCAGTACAGGTGCTACCCGTTTAGATCTCAGTTTCTTATGGACACACAGAAAATTGATTTCTACCATCTTCTTCACACTAGAAGGACATTAAATAGTGGAAAAGTTAATAAGAGTTGCACAATGCATATTTTCAATTGCATAACTGTAGTTTTCCACGCTGTGACAGAAGAATTAGGTAAAAATAAATTGGCCTGTGACAAAGTACATCTGCAACAAATACTAATCTATGATATTGCGACCGCAATGGCAAATTGTGCAATACGCAACCTGTGTTTAAGGTGTCTGCAACACTCTTTTTCAGAGCTCTATCAAGCTTTAACCAATTGCCTTGCTTTAAGATGCAGAATGGCATCCAAGCATATGCTACATGGTTTTATGATTGTCAGTGTTTGATGACCTGGTCAAGCAAGTTCAGCTGACTGACTATCCTTTAAATACTTTCCAGGAGGGCTAGAAAATTCTATGTCATTATCTGTATCATCCATCAATAAGAAAATTCCTTAAATATGTATTACTGGTCTTCATTGTAAGTAGCCCACAAGCTTGGGAGAGCGAGGGGGAGAGTAAATTAAGTCTCTGTTACATATACAGGATTCTTCTGACTTCTTATGGTCAGTAAGTTTCCTTCTCTCTTTTTAAGCTCTTCATGACAATGGATACCAGTTTAAGATTTGTTTCACAGTGTTATTCTTTTACAAAAACAAAAGCAGTAGTGCATTTTACCTGTCATAAATACGAATATTTGCAGGGATGGCACTTATGAATCCTACCAGTTTTTTGTTTGAAGACACTCTAACCCCACAGTGCCATTGGGGTAACCAGCCTGGAGGACGTAGCGCCCTAGAATTGATGACAGAAATAATTACAAATTACTGCCTAAGAAGATGTAATAAAAACACCCTTCTCTGCATTCCAGCCAGAACAGAATGTGGAACTTGCTACTCACCACAGAAGAAATTCAGGTGAATAATCAAACCTAAACATATTATCATCATCTTCTACGTAATTCTCATTTAACAGTGTGTATAACTCCTTCAGCTGAAAACACACACACAAAAAAATGAAAGATTGAAAAATTATCCACACACATGAATCAGAATAAACTCCAATGATTTTAGGTACATATAAAAATGTTTTAACTTACAACTTCAGCATTGCTGAGATCCAATGTGTCCCACATAAAACCCTGTGGCAAAGAATATGGCTCTAGGCGGACATTGTCCTTATCTGGTTCAATTGCACCATGTGAAGTTATAACTTCATCTTTTGAGGGGAGGAAAAAAAAAAAAAGAACAGTTATATTGCCAGCTTTCCTGATAGTTCTCAAAACTGCATTTGACTTGTGTCATGTATTTTCTCATCATTAAGCTTTTTAAAAAGGCTGAAAAATATTATTATAATTAGCTTATACTACTTATTCTCACGAATCACATTCTGACTAATGACTACCTCATCACAATATCTATAGATGGGCACAGAGCTACTTTACCCCAACTGACAACCAGTATATTGTAACACAGGACAGCAATTTATCAGCACATGCACAGCCTCGAGCCAGCCACGAGACCCATGGTCTCATCATGAGAAACATGTTGTACTCACCGCTAACAAGCTATGGCTCGGATTCTGTTTACCACTGACTTGAACAGACTTGAACTCAACAGGATTACTCAGGAGCAGTGCAATGGCAAAGCCAGGGCATTTAAGGGATGCTGATGAAATCCCTAAAATTCTCCAAGAAAGTGTGCTCTCTCCCCCTCCCTTATTTTACAACTCTGATCCCTCCATATATAGCTATAAACAGAAGCCGTTCCCCTTCTACGGAACAGCACCTGCCAAATCATAGAATCCCTTAGGTTGGAAAAGGCCTTTAAGAGCATCAAGTCCAACTGTTAACCTAGTACTCAGGTCCATCACAAAACCACATCTCCACACATCTCCACATCTTTTAAATACCTCTAGGAATGGTGACTTCACCACTTCCTTGGGCAGCCTGTTTCAATGCTTGATAAGCCTTTCAGTGAAGAATTTTTTCCTAATATCCAATCTAAACCTTCCCTGGTGCAACTTGAGGCCACCTCTTCTTGTTCTATCACTTGTTACTATGGGGAAGAGACCAACACCCACCTCACTTCAACCTCCTTTCAGGCAGTTGTAGAGAGTGATAAGTTCAGCCTCCTCTTCTCCAGACTAAACTACCTGAGATCCCTCAGCCACTCCTCGTAAGACTTGTTCTCCAGACCCTTCACCAGCTTTGTTGCTTTCCTCTGGACACACTCCAGTGCCTCAATGTCCTTTTATGTTCACAAACAACAGGTGCAGCAGGGCACCTTTTCTTGTTGGCTCGCTCACCAGGTGTATCAGGACATTATCTTCCACACACTCCAGGAACTCCCTAGACTCTTTGTTGTATTGTATTTCCAGCAGACATCTGGGAAGTTGGGGTCCCCCATGAGAATGAGGGCTAGTGACTGTGCGACTTCTCCCAGCTGCTTATCAAATAATTCATCTGCTTCTTCATTCTGTTTGGGTGGTCTGTAATAGAATTCCACCATGATACCTGCCTTGTTGGCCTTCCCCCTGATTGCTACCCACAAACACTCAACTCTATCATCACCATCATCAAGCTGGAGACAGTCAAACATTCCTTTGTAATATGAAGTTTTCCCAAATGACGTGCAATCCTGACAAATAGTTATGGCCTGCCATCCAGTTTGGAAGGTCATTGTTACCAGCACCTTTACACAAAATCTGGAAAGTATCAGCCCAAAGGCTACTGCCACTACATGTCAGACTTCACCTAACTAAAGGATCTACTGCTAACAACCTTATCCAGAAGGCAGAATAATTCTGAAGTTATTTTATGCAAAGATCTCTACAGCTATTTCTTGAATCAACAGATTTTTTTTTCCACATGAACATATTCAGCATATCAAATAATGAAGATTTCCAAATATGTTCATTCAGCAGATAAAGGAAAAGCTTAAAAAATATATAAATCAACAGGATCAAGAAGCAAGCAATAAATACTGTTGAACAAATCCTCTGCCAGCCAAATTCAAAGCAGCATATTTCTACTGACTAACACTAACAAATCATTTTCAGAGCCAATGTATTGGTCCTTTTAGGCTGGCAAGTGACAGACTCTCATCTCTTTAGAAGTGCTGTATGATATATTGACTAACTGAACTCCTGGAACTGCTGTGCAGATACCTGAACTAGCTCTGAAAAACCTCCATTATGGCCAAAGTATTTTTTGATTTACATGTTGACTTATTTCAGCTAGGCTCTTCCTCCACCTCGGCAGGATTACTGTGACAATTACTATTGGTCTGCAGAGGTATCGAGATGGAGTTCGTATGGAGAATTGCCAGGGCAGGTCAGTTCAGTCCAGCATGGCATCTAGGGACAGTGCTCTGGACTTCTCAACACAAGGAAGTCAGGGAGAAATTAAATCACTGTGAATTAAGCTATAGAAATGGCTTAATGTGGAATGGAGTCCTGTGAGAGAGAGAGAGAGAAGAGTGCTCCTGTGCTTTAGGCTCTACCTTATTTCTGTTTATTCTACACCAGTCTCCAGTGGCATGGAGAGAAATCTGCAGAACAGAACCATGACAGCTATTGCACTGAGACTGCTTTTACATCTGGGGTCCTCAAGTTTCATTGCCACTGAAGAGCTACAACTGCTTAGCTTGAAGACAATGAAGGGGGAAGAAGGTTCAGAAAGCAATTCAGAAAAAGCAAGAAAGTCAGCAACTGTCTTCTCCAACAAAGACTAAGATTTACCCACTGTGTTACCACAGATCAGATTGGTATAAAAAGTAATCTGCCAAAATCCTTACAAAATTAAAGGCAAGGAGAGGTCACCTCACCATCTCACTTGGTACCAAGCACAGAGAAAGCATGTCTTCAAAGTAGTGTATACTGCGGAGGAAGCATGTGCACATACAGCAGTAAAAGCGTCCACACATGAGAGAAGCACCATTATCCACTTAAAGCTGCATGAAAACAGCATAACCCACAGCAGGAGAGTCATGATTTCTGTGACAGAAAATCTATCTATTGAAAAAAATAAAAAGTGGTAAAATAAATAACGTCTAAGTTTACATTTTGTCACCACTTAGAGGTTTTTACTTTCTCTTGTATGGAAAAAAGACTTCTACGTTCTGTTGTTCAAGAGTTCAGACCTAAAATATAAGAAGGAATGCTATTCAAACAGCATTTTCCATTTTTATGGAGAACACCAGAATGAGATCTATTAACACCATATTTTGTTGTGTATCATTTTGAGTGGGGCAAGCACCTTCCAAGAGAACATCAAGAATTCCACATCAACTACACAAAAGATTAAGGATCTCTACCACACACAGTCCAACTTCATACCCATTTCAGAGAACATGCCACCCAGCTGGCAGACATTCCTTTAGGGGTCAGTAAGACAGATCTTATATCCAGGTACAGTTAAACTTACTAAGTTTAGGTACAGGCTGCGTATCCCAAAATTGGTATTTACGTTTGGTAGCCTCATCAATATTCTTTGCTGGGCCTTGGCATGCAGAGAGCAGCTCCATTGCTCTCTGGATGTCTTGAAGCTTCTGCATTGGAATGGCTGGATTCTGTACACAAAGACAAATGGAAGAGGAAGCTTACTGAGTACATTTACTTTGAACAAGTTGAACAAACACATTCATTTATTTTACTGTTGCATATCCTTTCACATACTCATCTCATCATGGTTAGTTTAGGGATAACCTTCGGAGGCAGGAAGGTGCAAAGTTAGGTGGGCAACTGACAAGCAGCCTCACAAAATACTTAATAGTTTTGAGTAGGGCTTGCATTTAACCATGAAGCTTCAGCATTTTTAAAATAAATACTGCAGCATAAAGGCTTGGTACCAGTATCGCAACAAAATGCTTCCTTTACTCCCTGCCTGCCCCTTCCCCCCCAATTAAATACAATAAAATGGCAAAAAGTAAATCAGCTTAGATATCAAACCATCTAAAGATACCACTGGTACACACAGAAACGTTTGAAGTTGTACTTTACACTCACGATATAAAATAATATTTAAATTCACTACGGTTCAGTATTTCAGGTACACTGTATTACTACAAATACCCACTTTTTTACCTTAGTTATATTGTATCTGCCTTAGATTAGCTTGGAATTATTATAGTAGGTACCTTACTGCATTGTATCATATGTAGGAGTTAACCAACTTGCCACTAATGCCACTTTTGCCAACACTCACAACTAAATATAATTTGAACTGATAGAAAGATATAAAAGAAACCATTTTTCCACTTGTAAGTTGAAAAATCTTCATAGAAAAGTTATTTGAAAAGCATAAAACCTAAGGCTAAGCAATTCTAAATTGAGCTCTTAAACCCTCTGATCACTCTGAGTAAGTGCAACTGGAATGAGAATTTTACCTGCATAGGAAAGTAGAGAGGAGTAATAGTAACAGACTTCTAAATCTAAAGGGATTCTTCTCTCTCTCTTTTTTAATCTATGCATTTGTTTTGTTATGTCCCAAGTGGTAAGTCCTGTTCTGAGGCATGCTTGTGCTGAGGTTTTCCCAGAAAGCAGTGCAATAAAAACATTTGAAGGAACAGTCACAAATGGATTGAAATCTGAAGTAATTCTCCATAGAGATTTCAAGCCAGATGTTTTTTTGTACTGAATATCAATGGGTCACTATTTCCATATTTCACTTTCTTTCTAGGATTCATGTGTTGAAAAAACAACATAAATTACATGTAATAATGATGCAAAGCTTCATTTGGACAGGCATCTGTCTCTAGTATTCTCTGTCACAAAAGGAGTAAAACTCCCTGCCTGTAGCTGAAGCACCATTTTCTGTTTATAATAGAAAACCTGCACTAAGTGTTATGCAGTTTCTTTCAGTAAGTATTGCAAAATTTTACCTGTGAGCATGCTTTAAACACCTGTCACCTAAGTAGTTGTGAGTTAACATATTTACACACTTTAGAGCACTACTGCAGCATAAAAAAACCTACCCTGCTTCTAGATATGGATTACGGTGACATAAGTGACTCTTAACTAAAAATCAATTCGTCTATTACACACTGGCCTGATACAAAGACTTCTGATCCCACTAGATAAATTCTGAAATCTGATCAGTAAATTATGAAATAATACATAAATATTGATAAATACTGTCATTTGTTTTGCATGTTTATTTTAAGTCTGTGATGTTTTTCCTACATTAAGAATAAAACAGAAAAAAAAGATACTAAGTTCTAAAAAATCTTACTAGTGTATTTAAAGTAAAAAGTTCGTGTTCTGGTACTAAACACAACATGGGAAGGGACGTAAGAGGAATCTCCTTTCCTTTCAACATGTTCAGAGATCAGCCTGGCTAAGTAGTTTACCTTCAACCCTTTTGTTTTCCTTTAGTAGAAAGGAAGAACTTCACATGAATTAGAAGAGGGATTTTGTTTAATTTCAGTTTAAGAGAAATATCTCCTCACAGCACAAGACAGCACTGGTGTGCATCAGGGCTGCATTTCTGCCTCAGTTTTAGTGACAAGATCTGACCTCAGACTTAGATGTCCCTAAGCCTTGTTGCACAGCCTGTGAGATTGCCATTAACCACAGCAGGAGAGAAAATTAGGGACCATTTAGCAAACTAATCAGGCATAGGTCCATACGAACAGACCAGATGCATCTAAAGGTGCTGAGGGAGCTGACTGATGTTACTGAAACAAGCATCTATCAAGTTTAAAAGGTTATAGCAATTGGTGGAGGTTTCTTATGACTGGAAAAATGGAAATGTCATATTCATCTTCAAGAAGGCAAGGGGGAAGATTTTGACAACTCAGGGGCCAATAATGTTTCATGATCTGTATGTCACAAAGAGTGATTTCTCTGCAAGTTCATAGATGATACCTAGCTGGGAAGAACGGCTGATACACTGGACTGCAGAGCTGCTATTCAAAGCTACTTTGATAGGCTGGAAACAGAAATTTAATGAAGTTTAGGAAGGGCAAACAGAAATTCCTGCATCTGGGACAGAAAAAGCCCAAGCAATGGCAAACGCCTGCACGGACTGGGTAGGAAGCAGCTCTGCAGAGCCTGGAGGTCCCTGTGGGCAAAGAGCTAAAGACAAGCCAACAGTTCCTTGCCAGCAAAGAAGGACAGCTGCATAATGGGTTCTACCAGTAAGACTGGCCAGGAAGTTTTTTCCTTTATCTGGCACTCCTGAGATCATCTCTCACAGTTTTGGTTTCCTCATTACAAGGAAAACATTGACATAGCAGAGCCAAATAAACAGAGGGCCACCAAGATGACTGGCGGGCTGCAGCACACAACATATAAGGAGAAGATGAGAGACTTTGGTTTGTTCAACCTTAAGAAGAGAAGGTTAAGGGAGTAGGAGAAATCTTATTGCTGTCTAATGGGAGAATGTTAAGAAAACTGGGCCATGTCTTTTCAGAGGAGCACAACGATAGGACAAGAAACAACTGACAAAAGTTGCAAACCAGCAAAATCCACTTAGATATAAGGAATTACTATTTTTTTAACCAGAAGTGTAGTCAAACACTAGAACAGGTTGCTCACAGAGGTTGTGAAGTCTCCATCCTTGGAGACCTAACTACCTGATCTAGGCCTGAGCAACCTGATCTAATTGGATCTGCTCTGAGCAGGAGGTTGGTCTAAAGACCTCCAAAGATTCCTTCCAATCTAAGTTATTCTGTGACTATGTTGGTGCCTACAGTAATGATGGATAATACTACAGATTTGTCAAGCATTTATTGCTGAGATTAAACTCATGACAGTGTTCAAAAAGTCCAACATCGCAAAAACAAGAGGGAGAAGCCAAGGAGACTCACTGTTCTGTTTTTCTCATCTCCAGACTGATACACCTGTTTACAAACTCACCTGACCTCAAAATCTTTTTTTCAAATTATTTTTCAATGAGTTTAGAAGCCCCACTGTGTATTACCTGATGATCCTGCATATAATGTCTTACAGGTGAGGTTTACAATGTTTGCTTTCCTCTGAAATATTTTGTAAACTTCTTTTCAGCGAAGAGCAAGTAGATGCTAAAACTCTTTTTTCAATAATATATTTCACATGACACGAGGAATACAAAAATCTAAGTATCACTCGAGTAGCAGATAAAATAAATATATTTCTCCACAGTGATCCATATCAGTACTCTAAGACGTTTTAAAAAAATCTGAAACAGGAAAGTTGTCCAAGACAGAGAAACTCATCTACTTATCAGTGTATACATCTGGAAGACAGCAGAGAAGGCAAAAAAACCCCAACAAAACAACAAAACAGCTGACACTGATGCATTTGCAAGTAGAGAAATGTAGAAGCTATATAAGAACAGTAAAATAGTTTAGCTGCCTAGAGCTTGAAAGAAAGACTTAAATAAGAGCTTTTCTTTTGTGCCAATAAAAGAGAAAATTTTGTAACATTCGTTAACAAACTGGTTAAACTTCTTGTGACAGTAAAATAATCACAGAGCGCCACTCTAAGTACACAACTTAAAATGAGGATAGGCTTCCACACCTGCACACACATCATGCCAGAGAAGTGGTGTGCAAGACTGCAAGGTGCTAAAATCTTGCACATGAAAACATAAAAAGTGAAGCAGATTTCTTTTAATCAGAGGCAACATATGGAATGTTAAGTTTGGTCAGCAGGGAAGCAAGGAACTCCCAGCATACTTCAGCAGAGAACTATGTCTTTATGTTAACGTCAAACTTGATCTCACTCCAGTTGTAAGAGTTTGAGGTTACTTGGTTATCGCGTGCAGTTATCTTGCATTAGTAATTCATGACATGTGTTTTATAGAAACACAGTATCAAAACATGTGGAGAGATCAGAAAACACCTAACATCTCTCTACATATTTAAAAGTGTCCCCTGTGCCAAATGTACCCATCCAAAGCAATGGGGGTGACACAGTGAAGTTCTAGAAGGACAACACAAAAACTATCAGTATGTTAATGAGCCAGAACACAACTTTTTCCTTAAAATTGGTTGGTATCCCCAATGTACTTGACAAATCCTACAGGATGAATAGTACTACTGGTACAATGGTGCAACTTTCTTCACATTAGCTTGATAAAGCAAATATATAT